TATATATATATATATATATATATATATATATATATATATATATATATATATATATTACCTTTCACTTTTACCTATATATATTACCTTATATATATTACCTTTAATCATAGAGGTATTCGATTGCCCAATGTACTCACATTCGATTTGGCACCCTTAGTACCTCCATAACACGAGAAAAATGCATGAGTAGAGCATGCACTGAAAATATTTGAAAAAAAACAATTCCATTCCGAGGTGAGGTTGCACGTTTTGTAATGCAGTAAAAATCTTAAGTCTGCTCAGCCGACCCATCAGTTTTTGGATGAGCGAAATCAGCCAACCATAGAAGCCTGCTTTCTAGAGAACAATCCGCCGAAAAAATGGTCGTGAATTGCTTCCTGAATAAAGAAAAAAGCACTCAATCACTTCATACTTGTAGATTTCACCTTGAATTTATTTATCATTAAGAGTTAATGCTCCTCTGACCGACTAGAGAGTAGACTGAATCAAGAAGCCTAAGGTACTGTGAACAGTGCTCAAGCACTAGACCTTAAGGTCAACGAGACTAACAAACTTACATGGCACAATTTATTATCTTGGTATATCCTCTTAATAATGCCCATATTCCCGCTATGTACTATTCTCACAGTGAAAGAAAAAGCCACCTCAAATGAGCATGCTGTAATTCATTATTAAAGGGAGTTCCGAGTACAGACAATTAAAAGGAAAGAGTGCATGTGGCTACAAAAGAGGTTGGAGCAATTGTCTCACATTGCCTTTCCGAGAATGATAACTAGATTGGAGAACCTTCACTGCAAGATGTAGGGAAGTCAACAGCAGCTTAATCTTTGAAGTATTGACAATTCCATGACCTTGATAAATTGTAAAGTATAGAGACAGAACATAAAAAGATAGGAAGGTTTTCAGAGCTGCTTAGCTCTAGGCGCAGGCTCCTGAGCACATGAGACAACCCTAACCATGACTTAGAAAGAAAGCTTTGAAAGCTAAATGCGCCACACCTCTGGAAATATGTTTATTTGATATATCCTCATGCTTTGACCAAGGCAACTGACGTCGATCGCCCACATAATTTTTGAATACCCAGTTCAGATTTTCAGATCTAATTTTGACTGCAAAAAATTGGAGATATGGTCGTGCTTCAGCTAGCTCAAAATATAATTCCATAAATACTTTGCTGAATTATAGTAAAGTAGGCTTGCACTCTTGGTAGTGGATGAGCTCAGTCTTTAAATAGAGCTTTCGAACACATCGAAGAATAACCCAGCGAAATGAAGAAGTGAAAACGGGAGTAGAGTAACTTCAGAAAAAAGCAGCGCGTTTGCAAAAAAATACCATTTTTGCGATTCCTGAAAGGCAAATCATAGGACGCAGTAAAGGGAATAGTGCGCAGTTCCCAAGAAGGATTCCTTCTGATAGTCATCAGTCCGGACAAACGAACAAATAGTGCAGATTAAGCATTGGCTAGTAGCTATCAAATGCTTCGATGGATGAATGCAAATTCTAAGCCAAGGAGCCTTTCGTCTTTTAGGGTTTACTTATTGGCAACAGATTAGATTGCGGGATTCGTGCACTGGTATACTCGGAGATCATTTTATAAGAAAGGCTTAGTAGCTCCCAAATTCAGATGGCAGTCTGATGCGAGGCGCACTTCAGAGAAATTGTGATTAGCACGTGTTCATCAAATAAGAATTCTCTTGCGTTATTAAAAACTATCGCCGTGTGCGCCTTGAGGTTTCGCCTGCCCTCAAAGTGTAGAGTTTCGAGTTTAAGCTTAACAAGAACTTCAAACCTAGTAGCGAATCCAAGAAAGAGAACGCAGAGAACATTCCCGATTCTTAGCGTGAAAGTTTTCAATTAGAAAAAGCCGAGATATGAGATACATGCCGAATAAAAATCTTATGACTCTCGCCAGATCCTCGGGAAGACAGAACTACTGATTCACACAAAGTCCTCTTGTTCCGAGCAAAGTACTACCACAATGGAAGGCCTAATTGGCGTTCTTCAATTGCACTTTCTGTTAGGAGACTAAATGCAAACATCTGAAAACTCGGCAGGTTTTGCATTAACTCACATATACATTTGAGTGAGATCTAGAGTACGAACCGAAGGGACCATCTTGCGAACTAAATGGAGAATGCCTTAGAAGCGAAATTTGTAATAAAAAGACAACGTCAGAAGAGCATGTTCTCTACTTATTTATTGATGGATGAATACATACTGAGACTCTAAAAGAGAATTAGAACAGTCATTCTCTGTCTCTCTTTTACCTCACATATCTCGCCTACTTTGAAGCCAGATCTTTCGATGCAACAGTGAAACGATCTTTTCTTATTCTCACTGAACCTGAAACTGACAAAGCTTTGGTTGGCGTACAACATTGAATCATGGTGTTAAACAACTGACAAGGCCAGTCCCAGTATGCGACGAGTACCTCATACGCTGACTTGCACTGATTGACAGCAGAAGTACATAGAAATGGATGATACCAGTGAAGAATCATACACGTTAGGCAGCCACAGACCCTTCTATGGTATACAGAGTGAGCCTTGGAACATAGGCTTTCTACAATCCCGATTCATAATCTGGTTAGAGGAGTAAGTGACGCTTTGAGGGTGCATCGGTAAACTTCATAGATTTGAGTGGCAAGAGCAGTAAGCAATTGGGCGGTTACAACACTGGAAATTGAAAATTCGCAGAGTCATAATCCGCTGTCGAGTGGAACTTTTGCTTGCAGCTGCACAAACGGTGGCTTACAGTGGCCAAAAATTAGTACGTAAATGATATATGTATTATAACAACATAGACAATCATGGAAACCAAAAAATACAAATACTTTTTATATATTACATGTACCCACTCTTTCAAGTGTCTAATCCCTTCGTGTCAGAACTTTTATTGTCATTTTTCAATGTTAATTTCACATCTTTCGCTGTACTTTCCGCTTTATACCGCTAGTCAATTTCGTTATCGACCGTTGTTCTTGAAGTTGAAACTCGGCTTATCATGAGCTCAGTGTGTTGGGCTTTTCGAATGCATAGGAAAGCTCAACAAAGATTACTTCTAGTGGAAATTACGCCGCTTCAAATGAAAGGCGGAGGAGATCGAATGATGAGGGTAAAGGAACAGTTCATTTTAGACGAGTAATGGAAGTGATAGTCGAGAATAGTACAAAAAAGGCGGAACAAACGCGGAAATCGGCCCATCCAAAGAAACATAACCTCAAAAAAATAAGTAAAATCAGGGGTTGGAGGAGCATGTGACGACTAGAGATTAGGGAAGGGGTATTCAGACGAGCTGTTCAAATGTGAGTCCATTGCGTAATGCTGGTCACAGTAAGCTGCTTGCGTACAATGTGTGCGTCTCGGTACGGATGGTACAACTTCAACAACCTCTTCAACTTCGTGAGAATTCGTCCGCTTCGGGTATGTACGTTGGATAACTTGGTTCTTAGGCTCTTGTTACGCTATATCGTGGCCGTTTTTCGACTCAACGACGTCTCTTTTGCTATCCCCAAAGGTCGCAGGTTCATGATAGGGGAACATCTTGGAAAATATTTTTATCGTGAGTTGTGCCTTCAAGTGGAATGCTCACCTGAATTGTGTAATAATTCGAAGCAAACATGTACATCAAGCACAATGCTGCCTCTTACGTCTACACTATTCTTTCTAGAAATGAGCGACGATTTGATGGCACAACGCTAGAAGAAAACGTTGCAAATCATAAGGCTACTCACGAGTAAAGTGAAGCACCAAATAGTATATAGCAGTTCCAGTCGGGCCGCTCGGCTAACGCCGGGCTTCCCGCCTTCTTATCATGTCGCCCGGCTTCGCCGGGCGCTCCTCCTTCCTGTTATGAATTTCCTATGCGTAAATAACACTTCGAATTCTCCTTTTTCCTTGAAAGCTCTACACCCTCAGTATTAGCTACGATTCGGGAGCGATTTTTTCTGTATTATAATTAACTATATAATAATTAGAAGTCTCGATTCATTGCTCTTCATCTCGAAATTGTGTCACATTGATGGCTTAACTGATTGTCAACGAATGTCTTAAATGGTGCCTAGAAATGTAACGCCTATCACAGTTGTTGTTATCAATGGAATATTTTCTCTACGGATTTTTCATTAATTGGGAATCCCAAATCTTTAGCGGTCAGATGAGTTCAGTCACAAATGCTTTGTTACAAATCAAAAGGGAATCGTGGTACTTCACTGTTTAACAAAGCTTATTGCGTAACGGTCGTAGTTTAATAGCAAGAAATGAGCAAAATTCTCATTTCGTTATGGAGAAATGTCTTTGATCGTTCGCTATTACAGCTTTTACAGCATTAAAGAATTAGTGTTTGATCATGAATACCCTTTTGCTCTCTAAGACCCCTTATCAGTTCTTATCATTTTTTATAAGTTCCTGCCATAGAGTACTTACGACTTCGTCACATCCTACATTGCCGTCATTGAAAAGGTTCCACTGTTGACACGAAGGGTATTGCAATGCTTGCTCGCTTGTTATTAGCTGTCCTTATCACTAATTAACTTTGGCCTCTTCACATCCTGCACTATCTACTAGAATGCTCAGTTGTTAGTATGAAAGACGTTGTAGACTTATTGGCTCTCGCCTCCTATCAATTTCTATCAGTTCTAACAGTTTTTCGAAGTGCCAAAGCTCTGCCGTCAACCGGAAGTAGGTAACAATTCCTGTCGTTCTCGCCTTCCAAGGCTCTTTATCAACTCCTTTTAACTACTATCACCGCCTATCACCTACCATCAATGTTTCTGTACTGCTTCCTGCGCTCTTACCAAATTTCAACGCAGTTGGACCACGGAAACAGGAGCTATAAATTTGCGCCCTAAAATTCCTTTCGCGCACGCCACGCCCCCTGTGGGCGGAGTTCGATCTCGCTACCTACCATAAGAGTTTCCATACTGCCACCTGTGCTTCTACCTAATTTGAACGCTTTGGGTGAACTGGAACAGGAGTTATGAATTTACGGTTCAAAATTTCTATCGCGCACGCCCCGCCCCCTGTAGGCGGAGTCCGGTCCTGTCAAATGCCATAAGTGTTTCCATGCTGCATCCTGTACTCCTACCAAATTTGAGCTTTCTAGGTCCACGGAACAGGAGTTATGAATTTCCGGTCAAACACACACACCGACACACCAACAGATACATTTGACGAATTACATAAAGTAGGATAGTCCTCAAACAAAATTTTGATTACAACTTGATTCTTTCGAATAGAACCTATTGTTTTCTAAAATGAGT